ACCAACTAAGGAATAATTTTAAAATTTGTGTGCGCTGTCTCGAAGCTCTCATCAAAGTGCATTATAATAAATGACTGGGAATATCTCTCTCCGTTTCCAGGCTTCAATTATGCAAGGCAAAACTCTTATCGATCGAACGTGGCCTTTTTGCATTATGTGGCGCTGTGAAAAATTGCCAGCCATTTGTTTGCCGAATCATGAATCTTATAGACAATGTCCAGTCCGAGTCTACCGACTCCCATATATTGGCTGGAATTTATGCATGAGCCCCTGTAAAGGCTCTCGAATGCGGCTTCAGTGTTTTGTTGCTGCACTGAAAATGCATTGGAAATTGCACAGCAACAGCAACAGGATGTGGAGCAGCAGCAGGAGCAGAGCTGGGAGTACAAGTGGATGCAAATTGAGCAATGCGGCTGGAACTCTTGAGATTGCACATCAATATTGCTACACTTGACACATGCCAAGGGCCGAGGGCCGACGGCCGATGGTCCAGGACCCCACATGAGAGGCGGCCCGTCCGGCACTGATTAACATTTGAAGTGTGCCATTCGTGCGGAAGAGTTATAGAAAAATACCAAATTGCCATTGCAGATGCGACTCCACAAAATTCCGACTATTTTCGACTATTTTCTCATCTTCTTTTAATTCGGTGCATCCACTCGAGTCAGCCACTTGCAGCGGCCACTAGCAGATGAAATTGCTCATACGCAACGCAGCAGCAGCATCTGTCTGTCTGTGCACTTTTGTTATAAAAATCTTTACAGCCCACCCACTTACAAGCAATTGATGGGGGAAAAAATGGCAAAAACTTGGCTCCCATCTGGCAGCCTTCGATTGATTTCCTACTTTAATGCGCAGAACAAGCTTCTTCAGGCTGCCTCAGCTTTGTTCCTGCTGTCGAGCATATCAAATTTGTTCAAGCTCCCTGCCTTTTTATTACTTTTTCCTCTACACTGCTGAAGATGTCTATGTGGATGCAACAGTTGTGGTTCAGTGTGTAAATTTAATCAGGCAATTTACTCAACTTTGGTGCTCTGCAGCTCTGCAGGAGGAGGTTCTGCTTCTGTCTCCCTGTCTCCCGCTTTATTGGTTTAGTTGGGAGTGTGCAAAAATGGCGAAATTTAATTAAATGCACTTTTGGCAGCGGAGGTAAACCTGGTAAAGCTAATTTGAGGAAAGCTTTTATTTAGTTCGGTTATAAAGAAAATGAAATGGTGAAAATTCGTTACTTGTTGATTTTAATTAATTCTGTTAATACTGACTGTTCCAGACTAGCAGCGCTAGCGGCGCGGCAGAACTGTTAACATCCCACTGTAACCGCCTGCTTTCGCTCCCCAAACACTAGCGCTTCAGTCTACAGTGCTGTTAGAGCACCCGTCTACAGTGCTGTTAGCGCACCCGTCTACAGTGCTGTTGGCCCTCTCCGACAGCGCTCTGAGAGTGGACGCGCCCGGTCTCTCACGATCCATACGGTTCGGGAGCGGCTCAAGTTTGTAAGCTGAAGCGACCTTGCTTTCACCCCCGCGTGGACTACTTTCTATGGGCGGTGCTACCTTTTGGAACTCATATCAATATCAAAGTATCTTCTGTTCCTTACTAAAATCCGTCCGTATTTATGTACTCCAATTAAATCTGTCAGCCTAAAATTAAATCTAGTTAAATCAATCACTATTGCTCTCAACTATTAAAGCATTCTTGCCAGTATTGCCAGTATTTGTGGCATGACAAATCGTTTAGAGGCAATGACAGGCAATGTGTTCAGCCAGGGCAATGTCAAGGCACGCATTTGTCAGTACTAATTGCTTTTCAAGACATTTGTAAATGTTGCACAGCATGGAGCTAACAAAAAACCATTAGGCCTTAACCTCTTACAGCTACAAAAAAAAGATAGAAAAAAAACTGAACAGACTTGCGAAAACCTCATGTGTATAGAGAGAGAGAGAGAGACAGCACATGAACAATTTGAATAGTCCACGGGGGATATTGGCAGGGGAGAGGAACGAATTGGCAAAGATTTCTGCAACGCTTCGACACGTGTGACATACATGCTGAGATATGTCAGGACACGATTTTTATTATGGCAGAGCCGATGCTACCGCTGCCAGATGCCTGCCTGCTGCCATCAACCAACACTCTGGGCAATAGAAAAACAAAATTCGAAATCGAAAAGTCTTTTTTGTGGTATACGCAAATGCAAAACTATGCAGAGCAATCAGAAATAAAAAAAATTCCATCTCTTCATGGGGACTGTGACAGCACCCCCAGCATTTTGTAGTACGGGTAACCAGGAGCAGGAGCAGCTGCAATCCAGACATGCCGCATAACCAATAAAGCCTTCTTTTGAACAAGGTCATGTATCCGACAATGTTTAAGTCGATTGAAGTGAAAGTTATTCCAAGACTGATTACTGCTCAAATTTCTTTGAGCGTCTGGGAGCAATCTCTGCTTGGGGAACATCACTAAAATGTTGTGTCTTGGCCATCAAAAATTTGGCTAGCCCTGCCAGTTTTGTTTTCGCCAAATTGCCGGCTATATATCTCCACCGACAGTTCGGCTAAAACGGTCCCCTGGGTGTTATCATAAAGTTTTCTAAATGCATAAATTTCTGCGGCGACTTTTGGTATTCTGGGGGCCGAAAAGTTTCAATAATTTAAACGCAACACGTATACATAGATCATGGTTACTCCTTAAACATTGGCTAATTTGATGGCACTGTGTGTGGCAAAGATTGGGCATTTGCCATAATCGCTGTGGCAAACATAAATCCATACGGGTCTACGGTAAGTGGTAAGTGAAAGGCATAAATATCCAATATGAGGTAGATATATCAAAGCATCCACAGAGCATCCTCTACCACTGCCTCTGTGGCTTCATGCTCCAGCTCAGACAGAAGAGAAGAGCATTACCCGCTGTGTTGGCTTCCCAGATTTATGATGAGACAAAGTTGCGCACGTGTGTGACTCCATTAAATCTCTTAATAGGATAATGCGGCTTATATAAATATTGTCGGAGCACAAAAACAAAAAAAGTTATATTGTCAAATTTATGTGACACCCGCTGACAGGAGAAATGCAAATTTAAAGTGCTTTAAGGCCACAGCCAGAGCTCAAAGCGAGGCCCATTCTGTGCGTTATTTTTCCGTATGTGATAAATGAAGTTGAAGCCTTGTCGGCAGAGCACACAGAGCGACGTTGTGGCAGCCCTAAACACGTGCTGGCAGGGCAGCAAATATGGAGGAGAGCACTCTGGTTGCATGTACCTGGACCACCCGTGCTCTATGGTATAACAATACGGATGAGCGAACTTAAGCACGCAGCTTTGTGTATTGAACATGTCATCGGCAAAATTTGTGTCAAAAACCTAGCCACAAAATACCTGCGTTCGATGGGATGGCAGGACAGGTAGTGCAGTGCTCGTGCCTCATGCTCGTAGCCCTGTTGCATGGAGGCCAGTGCTACTGTTTTCACAATATTTTCAGTTATGCTGCTGCTGTTGGGTTCCCCCACTGCACTGCAACATGGCTTGCCACTTTCCGATGACCTCGCCTCGCCTTGTCTGGCTTTGGGTTTGGGTTTGGTGTTGGGCTTGGTTCTGGCCTGCATTTGGTCTCGATCCGGGCACGGTTCGGTCCGGGACTATACATCAATTTAACAAGCAAGCATGCACATGGGAAATTAGCTAGCAATAACGCTCTTTTTCGGTACACGAAACGACAAAACTGAGCTTATAACACGTGCATACCCGAGACCAACATCCCACTAATATCCACCGATGGAATTTGGGAAAAATTCTTGCAGCACATAGTTATTTTGGAGTCTTTTGCATGCTGAGAATATGATCATCTTATGAAGACAGTTTAAATGAAATATGTGCGAGGAAAAACAATAAAGGCTGGATACACTCCAGGGTCTGGCTTTTGCCGGCTAGTTGCTCGCAATTTTATTTCAGGCCAGTGGGTTATGGTTTTGGGTCACTGAATGAGAATGTAGAGGAGTATTTGAGGGATAGTTTTTAACATTTTAGAGCTAGATAAGCATCGGCTCTAGAGACTTTTTCCTCACCATGAGAAACATTTATTTAATATCCTAAATTAAATTTTATCGAGCTGCCTTTTTGTCCATTGCTTTTACTTTTAATTGATTTGTTCAGAAGTCAAAGCAATCATTGCCTTTCCATTTTGCGGATGCCTTCATCCTATACCAGAGTCAGTGCCCCAGTAACATCTACAGCCAACGCCACAGTCATAGCCAGAGTCAAA